AGATCTCCACAGGGCCGCCCGAGAACAAAAAGGGTATCTTGATGGAAGCGGTCACAGGAGAAACACAAACGCATTCTATGACATCCATGCCCGACCCAAATGCTCTCGATTAAGAAAAAGGTCATAACCAGGAGCAGCGAGAGGAGGAGATCGGACCGCATCGAAAACCCATGTCTAAAAACAAGGAAAATAACAAAATGCTCTGCGGTAGATAAAATGGATAAATGAAAACACCGGGACATCAAACGAGAAAAAAGACATCAGACAGTCACATGAAAGAGAGAGAAGGGAAAAGAAAAAGTCTAGAGGGAAGTCGTGGCAGTCATGACAAAGCCGGCCCGAGAAGAAGAGAGAGTGGGAGGGAGGAAGGAAGGGAGTAGAAGGTAGACCCGGGGCTCGTTCTGCTCATGTCCGTTATTTGGGACAGACAAAGAAGAGATGGAAGGAGCCAATCAGACCCGACGGCCTTGTCAGAAATCACAACTTCGAATTTACCACCAGGACGAAGGTCCGGTAGGGCCCGAAGGGTTTCCGTAGCTACCACCACCGCCACCACCGCCGCTGTAGCCGCCATAGCCACCACCGCCGCCGCCGCCGCCATAGGAGGGGGGACCGCCGAAGCTGCCACCACCGCCGTAGCCACCGCCAGGGGCACCGTAGCTGCCACCGCTACCACCGAAAGAGCCGCCGCCGCCCATACCGCCACCGCCGCCCACGCGACGCATGTCACGGGTAGCGTTGGCACCGCGGCCGCGACCGCCACGACCGCCACGGCCACCGTATCCGCTGCCCTCACGAGCAATGCTCTCAAGGAAGGAGGGAACCTCCTGGTGAGCTTCCTTGAGAAGATCAATCAAGTCACGGACGACACCACGGTTACCACGGTTGAAGAAAGCAGTAGCGATACCAGTGTTACCAGCACGACCAGTACGACCGATACGGTGGACATAGTCGTCAATGTCGGTGGGCAGATCGTAGTTGATAACGTGGGTGACGTTGGGGATATCAAGACCACGAGCAGCAACGGCAGTAGCAACCAGGATAGGGCAACGGCCGGAGCGGAACATCTCCAGGGCACGCTCACGCTCACGTTGGGTGCGGTCACCGTGGATAGCAGTGGCGGGGAAGCGCTGGTTAAGCAGGAAGTCGGACAAAGAATCGGCCATACGCTTGGTCTCAACGAAGATCAGAGTGAGACCGGTGGTGCCGTGGGTGTGGAGGATATCGAGCAGGACGGAGCGCTTGTCGTGGTCCTCAACATATTCGACCTTCTGGGTGATGTTCTCGGAGGTGGAACCAACACGACCAACGGACAAGAAGACGTAGTCCTTCAAGAAGTCACGGGCCAGCATCTGGATGTCACGGGGGAAAGTGGCAGAAAACATCAGAGTCTGACGATCGTTGACGTGAGGCATATCCTCGCCCTCAACGATACGGCGGATCTGGGGCTCGAAACCCATGTCCAACATGCGATCAGCCTCGTCAAGAATGAGGTACTTGATGTTGACAAGGGAGATACGACCACGCTCAATCAGATCGACCAGACGACCGGGGGTGGCCACGAGAAGATCACACCCACGCTCGATCTGACGGAGCTGAGAACCGATATCGGCACCACCGTAGACAACGCAAGGGCGGACCCAGGAGCGGTAGGCGAACTTGCGGGCTTCATCGAAGATCTGGGAGACAAGCTCACGGGTAGGAGCCAGAATGAGGGAGGTGGGGTAAGCCTTACGCTGACGGCCATAGCCGAACTGACCGGAGGCCTGGGCGGGAGCCGCAGAGGGACCGTGCTGGAAAGCCTGAGACAGGATGGGGAAGAGGAAACCACCAGTCTTTCCGGAACCAGTCTGGGCGCAAGCCATCAAGTCGCGGCCGTTCATGACGATGGGGATGGAGTACTTCTGGACGGGAGTAGGGGTCTGGTAGTAGGCCAGCTTAATGTTGGCAATCAGGTGGTCATCCAAAGGAGGGTTCGTGAAGGTGTTGACGGGCTCGGGGACGTCGTGGCCGGAGGCCTCCACGGGGATGTCATCGTAGTTGGCGAAGTTGATACCCGTGTTCTGCTTGGTGGGATCGTTGGGAACACCGAACAGTTCACGTTCCAAGCGGGGGTTGGCAGGGCCGGGGATGTGCTTGCCGTCGCGCCACTGGCCATCTCCGGAGCCGCGGGCAGAGCCACCGGAGCTACCGCCATAGGAGCCTCCGTGTCCTGGGTTTCCGTAAGCATCTGGGTTAAAGGGCCGGCGTTGACCGTCTTGGGATGTCCAGTTAGGGTTACCATTGGAGGGACCGCGAGGGCTGAAGTCAGGAGCGTTAGCGTTAGCCCAGTTTCCACCACGAGGGCCTCCTCTGTCGTGTCAAAAGCATACCAAGTCAGCGGCTGTGGACAGTTCTGAGGAGGCAACCTATTTCGTGCCACCGAGAACGAGTGGAATTATGGGAGGTGGGAGATATCACATACCTGTTACCCCAGGAGTTGTTGGCAGCGGGACCGGGAGGAGGAGCGGCGGCGGCAGCAGCAGCAGCAGCAGCAGCAGGAGCAGGAGCAGGAGCGCCGTCCATGTTCGCACCCATCGGGCGTCCACGAAGGTGAGGAGGGATGTAGGCAGCGCGACCCGTATTGGCGGGAGCAGCGGGCGCATGCTGGGATTCGTTAAGGGAAAGGTTTCCCATCTTCAAACCGTCGGCCATATTTGCGGTGTTTCACGAACTGAATGAGACAGATGAATTCGTAAGTGGATTGTTTTGCAGTTGTGGCGCAATCGTAGCCGGGGGTGTGTAAGGACGTACAAGAGGAAAAATCTCAATGCTTTTTGTGTTTCGCGAAGATATCAAAGTGATGCAGCGATTACAGGTTGCTGTCCAGAATCGCGTCCGATGTAGGATTCCTTTTCTTTTCTGTATGGGAACAGGACGAAAGGAATGAGGACGTCAGATAAAAAAATTCCGTGTCTCTATTGAGTGGCAATACACAAGAGACCGAATAAGACAGCAAGTGACACAGTGTCAGAAGACGAAAGAAAGGAGTAAAGAGAGACCTTAGAGGGAGAATTTGATAAAGTGCAAAACAAGGCGATCTCCCAGATCTAAACCTCTATTACGGTGTAGCAAAAAAAGAAGAAGAAGGAAAAAAGGTGGAAGAGAGGTGGTAGGAGAGTTGGTGAGGATACGGTGTGGAGATATGTTGGGAGAGGGGGGGGGGAGGAGTAAGAAGAGAGGAGAGGAGAGGGAAAAAAATTGAAACCAGATTTGGATTTTAGCAGCGGAGGGAGAGAGAGGGGGGTGGGATGTGGGTGGTATTTTTTGGTTTGAAGTAGTAGTTAAAGAAGGAAGAAGAAGAGAGTTTTTTTTGTGGGCAGAGATTTGAAAAGAGGCAAAGAAAGGATGACTACAAATTCATTGATTAAAAATCATCATATGTTCAACTGCTTGACTACTTCCTTTCACATTTGCTGCATGTAACTACTGGACAATTATCAGGTGTGTGTGTGTAGGTAAACAGCCACCTTCGACCATTCTTCCTCTCTTGTCACTTTTTTTGTGCCTACCAAGTAAGAATCTTCAAGGCTGTTCAGCGGTTAGCATTGAACGGGTTGGCTTGCTTATTGGGGGAACCGACTGGACCCAGAAGGGGGAAAAAGGTTTAACGTGTAAATTTCAACGAAGCGAAGGGGGCAGAGGCGACCAGCAATACAGCCATGTAAAGTAAAAAAAAAAAAAAAAAAAAAGAAGAAAAAGAAGAAAAGGAAGAAGAAAAAAGAAAAATTCGTACCAGACGCCAGCCAAACACGGACACGGTGGCGGCGGGAGGGATCCAACTTGTTTTGGCTGTGCTGCCGATAAGTGAGTTAGCCTTCGGGCTGGACCCCAGTCCAAACGAATGCACTGTGTTAGTAGTTTGCGCTGGTGTTGGCTGTTTGTCTATCTCTTTCATCAAGATCTTATTTTGACTTGATTACAGTACATACGAGTAGTAAGTAGATTTCGTAAGAACATCAACAATTCAAATGATCATCTATCCTATGAGTTTCTCTGAGTCCAATTTTGCTCATTAAGTCAGATGCACCAAAGGATAACTATCTTGCAATACATACATCATCCTGGACAGATCATGACTGAGCCAATCTGGAGGGGGCGAAACAAAATCTTGGGGCGGCGGCGAAGCCTTAATTGTGACGCCTCAGGCAGAGAAGCTAAAAGATGTTCCAGCGTTACGGGTACGGAGGATTACCGCGAGCAACTGAGAATAATCTCCCGTGACGTATCTGCTTAGTCGTGATAGCCAAGTCGCCTCCTTGCCGCCGCTTCATCACTCGACACATGTGAACCGTACCTATACTTACCCACGGTAAACGCGTGTATACAATGTATCTCTTCGAGAATTGGTTGAGAAAGTCCTCGAAGGTGGCTTGCTTCTAGCTCACGGTTTACACATTCAGTCGTCCCGCCACTTTAGTATAGGATGCCGTATCTCATCTCCTCGACCACCCTGACATGCAGTTACATCTTGGAAGTACTCTATCTCCACAGTGTGGTGTATGTCTTTCATCCGTTTGTCCCTTGCCTTCGACAACGTGATGGCAACATCGTCACGCTCACTTAGCAGCTTAGTCAAAAAAAAAAGGCGGAAATATCCAATCACCTATCCACACTCCTCAGAGCGAGTCTATATAGTAGCCGGCTGCCAGGATCCTGCCATCATCGTGCATAAGGGTACAAGACCGACCACTCCTGGTCGGAAATATCGAAGTGCAGAGTACGGTGTCCAAGGCAGGTTGTGACATTGGCAATGCTATTAATAAATAGACTGGGGATCAAATGTGCTTGTGGCCAAACCCTTGGATGAGAACTGTGGTGGCATGGTCACCGCTCCACAATCGAAACCTTCAGCTTGTGTGCGCTTGTCTCTCGTACAGTTTCAAAAACCATATTCTGCGCTGCAAAGGCAAGTGAAAAGGCGCGGCTATCGCTTGAATCATACCCAGAGCTGGTACCATACCTTGATGGAGGCTCATGGCATGATCCTGGGCCGCATGACGTGGTACGGAGATTATACAGCGAACCTTTCCACGTCGCTGCAGTGCTGCATAAAAAGCATTGGACTCTGCTGGCCAGAATGGGAATGCCTTGTATTACTTGGGGGTTTCGCTAACATTATCAAAGATAAAGCAAGGGCTTCCCTCGTATGTCCGACTGCCTGGTCTAAAGTTGGATGGTCCTCTTGAAATTCTGACCGACTTCTTCGTGATAAGTTGGCAAGACTTGACGGCAGTCTAGTCTTGCAGGGCTGAAACGTGTTACGTATAAGAAGACCGGTGTAAGCACGGCCGAATGGCTGCGTATGCATCAAGGGTCACAAGCTACCAGGTAGCGGATTCTATAAGTTATCGAACACAGAGGGACGGAATTATGGTTGCACTAGTTCTTTGAATGATTATAGTAAGCTATGGAGTACGAAACCGTTGCTGCATGGCGGAGCGTCCGTCTTCGATCTTAAACGACACTTCTCTCAGCCTTCTCTCGCTGTCCCGGAGTGCTGCGCTTGATCAAGATCAGCAGCAGGCCAACGACTAGAGCGAGGGCCGCAATTTTCGGGTAAATATAAGGGTAGCTGTCAGAAGTGATGAGGGAGGCAACCGCTGGAGCCACAGGAGTTGCCGAAGGTTGTGACGGGATCTCCGAGATCATTTCTTCTTTACACAGCAGATATCAGCACATCGCAGACTTTACTCTTCTAGAAGCAAGCGCAGACCGCAGGAAGGCCAGTCTACAACTCCTCGTGGCTGCTACCTTTCTCTTCAGCCTTCTCCTCCACCGGCAGCTCGCCGCTCTTCACGATCTTGACCGTCTCCACGGGCTTGTCGCCGCGGCCCTTGGGCACGTTCTCAATCTGCGCAACAAATTCGTAACCCTCGAGCACCTCGCCGAAGACAACGTGACGGCCATCGAGCCAACTGTTTCGAGGGAAATCAGCAAGCGTCAGCAAGCGGCTACGTTGTCATGGGGAAGGATGAAAACTCACGGAGTGGGGACAGTGGTGATGAAGAACTGAGATCCGTTGGTGTCCTTGCCGGCGTTGGCCATGCTCAAAAGACCCTTGCGAGTGTGCCTAAGCTTGAAGTTCTCATCCTCGAACTTCTCGCCATAGATGGACTTGCCTCCGGTACCTAATTGTTTTTGTCCACAATCAGCATTAGACTCATCGCACGCAACCAAAAATGACAGGGAATGGCCACTGACCATCACCGCGAGTGAAATCACCACCTTGGATCATGAAGTCCTTGATGACACGGTGGAAAGTAGAACCCTCATAACCGAAGCCCTTCTCACCGGTAGCGAGAGCCCTAACAGTAAGTAACGTTAGTGGTGATCAGGAACCTAGCTGGAACAAGGCTTAGAGAATCATACCGGAAGTTCTCAGCAGTCTAGGATGGGGAAATGAGTTAGCATTGAGTCCGCTACAAACAGAGCTGCGTAATAATTATCCACATACCTTGGGAACAGTCTTGCCATACAGACCAAGGACAACTCTGCCCAAGGGCTTATCACCATGCTCGATATCGAAGTAAACCTGCATTGAGCATCAATCAGCACCCATTGTCCCGGAACATGGAATACTCCAGCATCCCTGAGGCAAGCGCTCAAGCTCATAGCTCGCATCTCATACCTTACTGGTAATCTTCGGGCCCCGAGGCTTAGCCTCTTCGGCGTGTACGAGGGCGAACCCGACCGCCAGGACCAAGAAGAAGGACAGGAAAAGGTTTCTGAAGTTCATGGTTACTGAAGAATAACTTCAAAAAACTGAACCTCGAATGCGATTGTCTGGGGGTAAGATGAAGGAAGGCACAGTTGCAGACAATTGAGGAGAGAGGCAATTGGACCGCATCGAGGCCAGCTTGCATTACTTCCTGGCCTACTGCGGAGGTGCCAAGCCCATCATTCCTGATCCGGTAAGATGCATGATATTCAAGGTTCCGAAAGCGCAGTGCTAGTGGTGGTAAGAATGTGTAATTTGCGGTTCGCCGATAGGGTATAGTACTGGTATCCATACATCCCGCCCAGCAATAGGGATGGATATCATCCGGCCAAGCGTCACAGCATCTTGAAACTTACCGTCATTTGCCCCGGAGAAACTTTGTTACTGGCGGATTTTCTTCCGCGCCTCAATCATCGCGGCGGGCAGTTGAGAGAGAGACCCGGCAGCGCAAGCGACGAGATCGAGCTCCCATCGCAAGTCCTTTTTTTTTCTTTCCAAAAGCCAAAGGCTTTCGTACTAGACAAGATGGTAAAGAAAAAGTGTCTGCCAATTGAGCTCCGCACCCCGCTAACACTCTCTCTCAGGTCTTCATCCTAGGCGTCAACTTCCCCGAGCGGAACCTCGTCAAGGCAAGCAACCTGCATTAGCATTAATCGAGTCAACCGTCCCCTCTGACCGCAGTCCAGAAATCCCTCGAATCGTTCTTCGGCATCGGTAACCACACCTCCTCGCGCCTCCTCGCCCGCTTCCACATCCACCCAGCATGCAAGGTCGGCGAATTGGGCAACAAGCAGGTCCTTGATATCACGGCCGCCCTGTCCGACATGAAGATTGAGAACGACCTCCGCAGACAAGTCCTCGAGAACATCAAACGGTTGAAGGAAACCGGTACCTACCGTGGTCGTCGCCATGCGCTGGGGTTGCCCGTTCGGGGACAGAACACACGAAACCAGGTGGGTGGATTCCTTTCTGTCACTAATACCCTTTCTTTTTATGGGAAGGGTGTATTTTGCGGGCTTCGACTCTGCTTCCAGGGGAGCATGCCTGTCACCATTGGAACTATCCGCTAATATCGGGGACCCTACAATAGATCAAGAACGCTGTCAAGTTCAACCGTATCGAGAGACGACTTGGTTGAGGCGATGGGTTTCTGTTTCGATTGGCGAGTCTTGCGCTTGGCTCTTTTATCGTGAGGGCATGGATTGGCGTTATCGTTTTTTTGTTCTTTTTTTTTTTCTTTCTTGCTGTTACTCTGTAACCTGTATATTTTTCACTAGAACCACCCCGAACCCATCCTCAATATTCGATGGCATGTATCACATGTAGACAAATGAAATGTCTGATTACGAACTGCGGATCTAAGCATTGTGTTCCGAAGAAGCAATTAGTGGTGTATTGCTAAAAGATATGCCAACTCATACAAGTGGACTCCTCCGATAGAAGCCAAATACCAAACTTTTTCATCCTACAATTGAAAGAACGCCAGAACCATATGTGCAACACTTTGCCTCACGCGGAAGACAGAACACCCTCTCCCCGATTGATCTGGATCCTCTTGTCCTCACCGGCACTGACAATGCCGACAGAACGATCCCAACACACGCCAAAGACCTTGACTCCTTCGCCACCCACGCGCTTGGCGTCGGCCTTGCCCGCCTCCTCAAGGCTCTTCCGGGTGATCGAGTAGACGCTTTCTCCAACAACACCATCCTTGTCTGTCTTGGTGGCACGGATATCCCAGATGCGGCACGTACCATCGTGACTACCACTGATAAGGCCGTAACTGCTGTGGGGATCGCGAGACAAGGAGACCACAGCGTTCGTGTGGCCGCGGAGGGTCATGGCAGAGATAGTTGTCGCCGAGACACGGGGGTCAATGAGAGTGATGTGGCGGGCGGAAGTTCCTGTTGCCAGGAGGTGGTGCTCGGGGAGATGTTCGAGGGAGAGAAGCGAGTGGGACGTTGACCGAGTATCGACAAGTGCCGCAGTGACCAGATCCCACGTGCGGAGAGTATGATCCCATGAAGTTGAGTAACCGACGGTTGAGTCTTTGGCATCGAAAATGGCGGCCGATACTGGAGCGGTATGGGAGGAGAGCAGAGCCAAGGGTCCGCGCTGAGGAGTGCTGATGGAGGAGTTCAACTTTCTCCTCTTGGAGTTTCTAGAGGCGGCAGAGGGCAGTAGATTCTCCGGGGCGGCTGGGGCGTCTGATTTCTTAGCGGACCAGAAACCAACAGCGTGGTCGGAGGAGGCGGTTAAAATGCGGTTCGAAGGCGCATGCACGGCCAACGAGTTGACGCCGGACTTGTGACCGTACAGCTCAAGCTGAGGAGCGATCTTCCCAGAGAACCCATCTTCGCTCTCAGTGTACTTCCACAGACGCACAGTGCGATCCAGACCGGCCGAGACGATCGAGTTGGGAGACAAGAATTTGGCGGCCTTGATGGATGCGCTGTGTCCACCGTCTACAGCAGACGGGGAGGTCGCAACTATCTGAGAAGACATATTCCACACCCGAAGCAAGCCATCGTAGCCAGCGGAGAGGATTCTTTCTTGGCCTGGAGAGATCGATGACGATGCCCAAGAGGCAGCAGATGATGTCGCAGAAAGCACGTCCACGGCGCTGACCCAATCGTCATGCTCAAAAGAGGCGATGTGAAGTGGAGGAATCAAGGCTCTGATATACTCGATCTCCAGAGTCGTTTCAGAGGAAATGCCATTGGCGGTCAAATATTCATCAATGGAAGTGCGGAGGAATGCTCCGTTGATCAGGAACTCGAAAGGTACCGGCTTGTCGTTCGCCAGCAGGTTGTTAACTAGCGTCGAGAGTGCATATCTGCGCAGACCTACGAATCATAAAGATATCAGCATTGTGAGGCTGGCGCATCAATGACTTAGCAGGTAATCTCACCAGTAGGAACCAAGATAGGGCCGGTATTCTCAGGAAGCGCAATGTCTTCCTGTTTGCTGACAAGCTGCACACGCACCTGTCTCTGCGCACTCGCAGCAGACGAAGAATCCTGAGTCCCGTTCATATTTGAGACTGATTTACCAGAAAAGATAGGGTATATTATGGGACTGTGGTCAGAGGCGCACTTCGTCGCCGTTGAGAAAACTCCGCCGAGGGAGAAGAAAAAATACGGCGGGCGATGCGGCCAGATGTGCAAAGCGCGGAGATCCCCCGCGACCGCCCTCATGCTGATAACAAGCAATATACTCAGTAGTTCTACACAAATGAAGACCAAATCAGAAGATATTTATATTTCCCTCGTACACGGTGTCATATATACACAGATCTTCCCTGATCCAACTTATCTCCATTGACCCCGAGATTCCCGTCGGATGTCCGCAAGCGCTTTCCGCCGATACTCGGATTCGGCGAACAGCGCCTCGATCAGGTCAATGACCTCTTCGGGCGAAAACTCCAGGCGTAGTTCTCCTTCAACCCAGAGATATCTAATATCGGCTAGCGAGCTCTCGAGAATATTGATGAGATATTGGAATTTGAGCCAAGTTGGCACATAGACCGCAGTCATGGGTACACGCTCAGTATTGTCTTTTGCTTCGGGCATGAACAGCTCTTCCAACTTCGAAACTTGGTTGCAGAATGATACAAGTCGTTGCGACTGGGGTTCTGAGATGTCACCCAAGTCTTCAATCTCGATTATCATCTTGCTGATCACGGTCGAGACCAAGGATCCGATTGACTGAAGAAGGGCTGAGTGCGATAAAATCGGCTGCCATTCGGCATAGACACCCCGAATTCTGTCAACGGTGGCAGCGACTGCATTCTCACATTCGCTCAGATACGGTTGCTCAGAGCACTGGCTGAATCCTTGGGCGCCGTCGAGAAGATCAGTCACAATGGTGCGCTGGGTTTGCATCTCTTTGCTATATGCGAGTTTGCCAAATCTCTCCACCGCATCAATGTCGCCTTGTAATCGTGTAAGCTGGTGCGCCTCCATGATGGTACGTATTTCGCCAGCAAGATACTGAGTATCATTGTAAAGATACATTTGCCCAGCATTCAATTTATGATCATAGAAGGATGAGGCAGTGGCCTTGAACATGGCGAGGATCAGGGTTGGGAGTGCAAGCAGCCCCGTCCCAGACGATACCACGCGGGAATGTGAATGTCTGAAATGTATTAGCATGGAAGCAACTGCCTTAATGCATATAGTAACTCACTCAGGCTGATTTATAGCTCGGGAATCAACGATCTGTTGTTTTATGATATCCACGATGGAATGAGGTATATCCGTGATAGTGTATCTTTCGGTCAGAGTTATCTCCCTCGAAGAAGTAGGCTGCCTTGCACTTTTGCCGTTGGCGTGCTGACTGGCTTGCGACTTTCCGGGCTGTGGTTGATTGACGTTCTGGTCATCGTCATCGTCATCTCCCCAGCCCCAAGCGTCACCGGCATCGTCTTCAGCTGGAGCGCCTACTTGAGACTTCGAGTTTTGTTCCTCGGTGTCATCGTCATCGAGCCCCCATGCACTCACGTCCTCTTCGTCGTCTTGACTTTTAGAAACCTTGCCTTCAGTTTCACCTGCATTGTCGTCATCCCAGCTGGCATCCCAGTCATCGGCTGGGGCGTTCTCCAATAGCGTGTCATCTTGCTCAGATACTACCTCCACTTCGACCTTTTCCACCTGCTTTGTGCTGCCTTGGCTCGCAGCGAGGACTTTACGAACTTGGTCCAGAGAGTTAACCCTCCGCTTGGCAAGCCAAAGTCGAGAAGCTTGGTTAACCCAAGAAGTAAGTTCCTCATAGCCATGCCAGCCTAGGTCCTCCACAGACTTTGTGAATTTAAGGACACAATCCAGGGTATGCTCGAAGTCTTGAAGCCCTCCCAGCTCGATGGGGATGGAGGGTGACAGCCACGATTTGATCATCTTCGAGGACAATGAGGGAATCAGCGAGTCCGAGAATGAGTCGACAACGGAGGTTGGTACAGCCTGTCGCAAGAAACCAAGAAGGTTGCTTATGTGTCCGAGGACTTCAGGGACTGAGGTTTTCGATGCTTGCGACTCCACTTGAACTGAGGATTCAGAAATCAGAATCCCGCGGCTTTGACCATCAACGCCTCGCATCAAGATTGGGTCTAGTAATGCAATCATTATGTCTTTTGCAAACTTGTCGCGCGCAGTGACGAATATCTCCATTCTGTTTAGGGCTGCGATCGTTTCTTCTAGGCGGTCACCTGCGATTTGAATTAGAATAATCCAATGAATCAATCAGCAATCACGTTTATCAGGGGTTATTACCGTCTTTTTGAGCGGTTAACTTCCCTTCCCGTCTTTCAATCTTCAGCTGCTCATTCCATTGAGAAAGAATGACATCAACGACCTGCTTTCGCAGACCGGCGACATTCTCCAACAGGATGTGCAAGACGTTGGTGTTCGCAAAGTGATCATTCTGTCTCATTGCTAGCTCAGCTGCCTCTAGCGTGTCGATCACGGCCATGATCCGGCCCTCTCCCAGTGCTGACCGACCATCTTCCAGCTGCCGGCAGAGCCCCTGCACCTCCTCCAGAGCACTGGTCACCGCCTGGTTGAAAGCAATTTCAGTCTCAATCAATCCGACCTTCGCAGCGGCATCCTCCACCTTCAGCTGTAGAGGAGTGGTATTTTCATGTTGCTTCACGATCTCTCGGGCAGTGACCCTGGAGCGCTCAATGTCTGCATGAAGTTGTTTCGCTTGGGAGATCCAACCGTCCGCATCAAAATTGTTCTCGCGACTGAGAGAGTTTATTTCGGCCTGTCGAGCAATTGGAATGGGCATTAGCAGGACTGGGATAAGCTGGATCTGATGCGGGGCTCGCGTCTCGAATCATCAACTCACCTCAACTTGTTCTCTAGCTTTTGAGATCAGCTCCAATTCCTTAGACAGTGCAGAGACAGGAAACTCGGCCGCAATGATCTTTTCTGAGGAAGGATAAGTGCCGTCAGTCACGAAAGTAAGGACCGACTGACAGATCCCCTCCTCTGAAATCTTGCCGGGCATCTTGTATCGTGTCCTTCGCGGGCCAACAAGCTAGGGGAAACCGTCACAGAGATGGCGCAAACTAGGAAGCGGTTTCTTTATTATGCTGATCCGACTGATACCAGCCTTGTATCTCAGACGGAGATCCCTGGAGCGAGCAACAAGGAAATAGTTGAAGTATAGCTCTTGCAACAGGAATAGGAACTATTAAATCGATCAACCACCACCACTACCATGTGACCTCACCGCTCACCGCCTTGACTGCGATAGACGGAGATGGAGCAATGCGATCAGCTCGAACTACTCCCCACCCGACTGATTCATGCAGCCTTCGTTTCACTGCGCTCTTCATTCGTGGGTCTTGATCCTCGGGCTTACGATTTCGCAGTGTTTTCAGGTGGTGTGTTGTCGTCACATCATAGGCCATTAGCCATTACCAGCTCCAGTGGCATGGTTGATCTCCGAGGTCTACGACAGACTGTATCAGATATCGGGACCCAAAACTCCACTCCGAACCGTCGCAGTCCAGTTTGAGTTCAACCTTTTCTCAGCAGCCATCAGTGCTCACGACACTTTATTTTTTGAAAATCCCTTCAAAGAGACACTGCTATCAAGCAGAGCCCACCGTGTCGCCACTGTTTCTCTCACGGAGCCTGATTCGGGCAACCTCTTCTCTATCCATGTAAGTTCATGTCGCTACCCTTCGCTTGATTTTGAGACAAGAAAAAGGAAAAAAGAGCCCAAAACGTGCCCATCCGCCACTGTCGTTATCATCAGACCTGTTGGTATGGTTCGCAACCCGAGATACCTTGGTCATTGTCAGCCGCTGTTACTGTTATGCAAATAACTTCAATCACAAATTACCGCATGATTAGCATTTTCCCGCGCGAAAAAAAACGTGCATCCATCTTTCCAATCACAATGTTTTAAACCCCGGAGCATTGCTAGCTTCTGTTATACTATCTTAAAACCCCTCGTCGGGCGTAATACTACAGAGGTTGTCAATTATGGCGTGCTGACAGTTCACTAGTGCCTCGATACGGGGAGTGACCACAACTTATCCCCGCAGGTTCGCAGGGTCGGCTTTCAACATGTCACCAAGCCAGAAGGATCACTTCAAGCTCCTCCAGAGGTTCAAGCCGGACTACTCGCCCAGCGAGTTTGTTCAGTATGAGTCAACGAGGACTGGCATGAGGGTCGTGGTCATCGACCAGAAGGGTCCTAAGGTCACAGGATATTTTGTCCTAGCTACTGAGATCCACGATGACTCAGGAGCTCCCCACACGCTGGAGCACTTGTGCTTCATGGGGTCGCGGAATTACAGATATAAAGGATTCCTAGACAAACTCGCAACGCGAGTGTACTCTAGCACTAATGCATGGACCGCTACTGACCACACGGCTTACACGCTGGACACAGCGGGCTGGGAGGGTTTCGCTCAGATCTTACCCGTGTACCTAGAGCATGTGATCGCCCCGACCTTGACTGATGAAGGGTGCTATACTGAGGTCCACCACATCGATGGGGCTGGAAACGATGCAGGCGTGGTCTACTCAGAGATGCAAGGAGTACAAAACAACTCCGCCGAATTGATCGACTTGACTGCCCGTCGGTTGACTTACCCGGAAGGTGTAGGTTTCCGTTATGAGACTGGTGGTATGATGGAGCAGCTTCGTGTTCTCACTGCGGAGCGTATCCGAGCATTCCATCGTGAGATGTATCAACCAAAGAACCTATGTCTGATCATCACGGGTGAGGTAGATCATGAGAACATGTTGAGTGTTTTGGACAAGTTTGAAGATACCATTCTAGATGTCATCCCTAGCCCAGATGCGCCGTTCACCCGCCCTTGGGTGGATTCTAAGCAGGCACCCCCGTTGGAGAAGTCCACCGTACAGAGGGTTGAATTTCCGGAAGAAGACGAGTCTTTTGGAGAGATTGAGATCAGGTTTCTTGGTCCTGATTGCATAGACCCCGTTAACAGTAAGTCAAGGCTCATTCTTCAGTGTAAAGACCGGATACTTACGATCGATAGCTGGGGCTGTCAACGTTGCCCTGTTGTATCTGGCTGGATCGTCTGCTTCGCTGCTAGACAACATTTTGGTGGAGAAGGAGCAGCTCGCCAGCGCAGTCTATTATGCCACCGAGGACCACCCCAGTATCGAAATCCGTTTCACTTTGACTAGTGTCGAAACGAAGAAGATTGCTAGGGTGGAGCAGCGTTTCTTCGAGGTTCTCAAGGATGCAATGGAGAAAGAACTTGATATGAAATATCTTAGGGAATGCATCGACCGACAACGGCGGACTTGGAAGTTTTCGACAGAGACGTCGGCTTCCTCCTTCGCTGAGTATGTGATCTCTGACTTCCTCTTTGGAAAACGGGACGGGTCCACCATGCTCGATGTCGCGAGCCTGAAGGAGTACGACGTGCTGGAGAAGTGGGGCGAGGAAGATTGGCGCAGCTTCATCAAGAGATGGATTTCTGACGCCAATCACGTCACAATCTTGGGTGTTCCATCCTTGAAGATGTCTGAGACTCTTAAAAAGGAGGAAGAAGCCCGGGTTGCGGAGCAGAAGAAACGGCTGGGTGAGGATGGTTTGAAGAAGCTCGCAGACAAGCTTGAAAAAGCCAAGGCCGAGAACGACAAGGAAATTCCTAAGGAAATGTTGGAGAAGTTCCAGATTCCTGGCGTCGAATCTATCCATTTCGTCGAAACGACAACTGCGCGGTCGGGCACTGCTCTGAAACTGGGTCGTCCCGAAAACAAGCCTCAGAGCCTAGTGGATGCTGATGGCTCAGACCTGCCTTTATTCATACACTTTGAGCACATCCCAAGCAGCTTCGTTCAACTCTCTCTCCTTATCTCCGCCGCAGCCGTTCCAGTGCAACTTCGCCCTCTACTATCTGTGTACACGGAAGCGTTCTTCAACCTGCCGATCCAGCGTGATGGCAAGACCATCGACTTTGAACAGGTCGTTGTTGAATTGGAAAGAGATACGGTTGGTTACTCTATGGAAGGCGCCCGAAGCCTGGGAACTTCCGAAATGCTACGGATCTCCTTCCAGGTGGAGCTGGAGAAGTACAGCACCGCAATCGCATGGCTTCAGGAGCTTTCTTGGAACTCGATTTTCGACGTTGAGAGACTGCGCGCTATTACTAAACGCCTTCTCTCTGATGTCCCAGACTCCAAGCGAAGCGGCGACGACATGCTGGCGGCAGTGCATGTCATGGTTCACTACGCGGCAGAATCTATCGTGCGTGCCCGCAGCACTTTGGTCAAGGCTCGCTATCTGAAGCGGATCAAGAAGCAATTGGCTGACGAGCCGGAAATCGTCGTTGCACGCATGGAGGAGATTCGCCAAGCTCTTTTCCGGTTCGAGAACATGCGGGTTGTGGTTATTGCAGATCTCGAGAAACTGCAGAACCCGGTCTCGGCTTGGAAGCCGTATGCTGAACGGCTGGGAGCGGTTGCCCCCCTTCGACCCATCACAGCCAGACGTCCCTTGCTCAGTGAGGCTGGTCAGCACCTCGGCGGCAAGTCGTATGTGGTGCCTATGCCGACCATCGATTCCTCCTTTGCCTATGCCACCGCGCGAGGCTTGGACACCTACGACGACCCGAACCTGCCTGCCCTGCTGGTCGCGATTGCGTACATGAACGCCGTCGAAGGTCCTCTCTGGGTTGCCGTCCGTGGCAAGGGTCTGGCCTACGGCACGAACTTCGCCTACAACATCGACACCGGATTCGTCAACTTCGATGTGTACCGGTCGCCCAACGCCCACAAGGCCTTCGACTCCAGCAAGCAGATTGTCGAAGACCACCTTTCTGGCGCCACTGCGTTCGATCCCTTGATGATGGAGGGTGCGATCAGCAGCATCGTGGTGAGCTTCGCCAACGAACAGGCCACCATTGCCAACGCCGCCTCGGACAGCTTCATTCGCCAGGTGGTCCGTCGTCTGCCCAGTGACTACAAGGAGAACATGCTCAAGAAGGTGCGCGCCATTGCCGTTGAAGAGGTCAAGGGTGCTCTGAGAAAGATCATCCTGCCCTTGTTCAACCCTACGACGGCCAACATCGTCATCACATGCGCTACTGTAATGGAGGAAGTATGTCAACCCCAATCCCGAACCGCCCCCCCCCCCCCTCTCAAGACTCTTGGGATGACTCTTGACTAACTCATCGATCCAGACAATCAAAGAAGGCCTACAAGCCTCCGGCTTCACACCCAAGGTACAGGCCCTAAAGGAGTTCGAGGACGACTACGGACTCAAGACCGGTGATGACAACGATGACGAGGAGGAGGAAGAGGACGACGAGGATTCCGACAATGATGATGACGACGACTCGGAATCCGGCTCCGAAGACGAGGACTCCGACGAGGAATAATCCGGCTCCGAGGATGACGATGAAGAGTGATCTTTCTCGTCTTGGTAGGAAGGAGCCTTATCCGAATGAACCACACGGTATACTACAGTACCTGAACGTCTAGACAATACGCGGCAATAAACCAGAAGCTAGAAAGCAGCCTTGCTAAGCCATGAAACGAGCATGATTATATCTTTTTAGAGAGATACATACACATATATATGTAAATAACTTTCTTCAAAACTAGACTGCTTACATTGCGGTAGAGGGCCGAACAGGCTGTCCCCAGGCTGGAGACCCTGCAATGTTTGGTCGGTGCCGAAGAACAACAGGCCGTATCATCTTAAACTGCCATCCCCTTACCATCCAACCAACAAGCTACACGTAAGAGCCAAGACAGTCAGTCAGCCCTCAACACCCTTATGCACGAAATCTCCGGGTCCAATCGCACAGGTAAAAATCCATGCCAAAGATGTATGTATGTAAATACAAAATAGGAAATATGAAAGAAAAAAGGTAGTAGAGTACAACCATCATATCTCAGTCTAGATCATCAACCACCAGCAACCCACCGACACAACCGCTCCCCTCACCTGACCACAGCTGAGCACCGCAGTTGATATACTCCTGCCTAAGATGAAGCACGAAACCGCATGCCCAACTGAGATCCTCCAGTCCAACCCATCTATCTCATCGAAGACCCCATATACCCTCTAGTAACAAGAGCCCCAGAGAAATCCAATGTGATTAACCTTCAAAGAAATATGCAGCACACCTAACACAACAAAATGAAAAAAAACAGAAGAACAGACAATCCCCCCCCCCCCCGGAAGCTTTCAGCGAGATACACAGCCCATTGGTGCAGAACGGTCACTCGAGACGGAAACAACCAAGCCCCGCCGTCTCCCTTAGGGTAGGGTAGACCCTCAGGGTAGGGTAGGAGTACTGAAACGACAGAGAAACCGCAAATCTACCAACTCAAGTTCTTCCGGCCGCGGGCCTTTCTCCGCTGAATGATCTTCCGTCCAGTCCGGGTCTTAACCCGGGAGAGGAACCCGTGGCGCCGCTTCTGCACCCGTCGCGAGGGGTTATAGGTTGACCGCTTTCCGAGCAGGCAGGCGCTGGCGGAGAAGGATCGGGATTGTTGCAGAGAGGCTGTGGTGGGAGATGTGGAGGGGAAGAAGGCGGAGGTCGATGAGAGGATGGCGGTGGAGGGGGCTTGTTGTTGGTGGGAGAGCTGTGCGCGAAGGGGAGAGAAGGCGGAGGACGAGGTAATGAGGGTGCGGATTGATGTGGTGGTGGTGGTGGAGGTGGTTCTTGCTGTTGATGCGCGGGCAGCGGCGGCGGCGGGTGCGGAGATGGGGATTCTGGAATTCACGACGGGGGTTAGCCTTTGGGGATTCGGGTAGTCGCGAAAAGGTGGTGCGCTATGTTCGGTGGGTTTGCGTTTCCTTTCGGCTTGACTATCCGAACTTGAACGTCGAGGATTGGGTGAGGGGAAAGGGGGGGGCAGGTTGGCGATATATTGGCGGAACCTAGGTGGTGGTGGTGGATTTGAAAGGGCATCATCCATCGCAAGCAACCACGTACCTGGTGGCCGCGGTCATGGAGGACCGGAGAGTGGCGGGCACGGCCCGACACTGCAAGCAGATCATGGCGTCGGATTGCACTGATAGAACTGAGGCCAGAAGGGACGGCAATCGAGCAAACAACCGGATCACCGACAGGAGAATCTCAAGTGTGAATGGAGGGAGAGTGTGAGTTGAGTGAGTTGAGTGAGTTGAGTGAGTGAGTGAGTGAGTGAAGTGACGGAGGACGAAAATTGAACACCAACGCACGGACCACCTGCGACCTTTACACCAACAACTTTTTTTCTGCCCGCCCGCGGTCTGTCGCCGCAATCTCCATTTCTCCAGATTCCCCATTTGCTCTACACAGACACTTCTACACGCATACACACCAATCACCTCCAGGCGCAATTTCTGTCGCAAAAATTTCGATCACCCAAGAAATATAGACCAATTTCTATCGCCCGCCATTGACGACTTTCTATACCCTACCCCGGGCGAAAAAAAAACTACATCAAGTTGCACACTACCACTGAACACTTCGCAAAGAAAGCCAACTTCTCTCGATCACAATGGCCGCCCAAGGTCCCTCGGCTCTCCCTCCCACAACCATTATCTCATCCCGACCGATCTCCCAGTCGGCTGCCCACGACTTCCTCGCGGCGTACCTCGACCGTGCTGCGACGGATCCCGCCCTCCAACCCAACGCCGGAATCAGTGAACATGGCCCCTTGTCGCGCACCACGGCCGCCGCCCCCAATCTGATGCTGCACAATCTGAAGCGCGTGCAGGCCGGTTTGGCTGGCGAGGTCCTGGGTCGGGACCTGACCCTGGCGAAGCTCATGGCCGGAGAGGACGGCGATGCGCAGCAGCAGACCACCGAGGCGGAGCAGGGCGAAGATTGGGAAGATGCCCAGAAGTTTCAACAAGAAGGTGAGGCCCTGGAGGGCTCGCAGGATCCGATGGACGCAGATGTCAACATGGAGCAAGATCAAGAGGGCACCGCATCGGGGGCCATCGACAAGGAAGAGAGGAAGCGCCTGAAGAAGGAGCGTAGATTGGCAGAGAAACGGGCCAAGGCCAAGGCCGACACCGATGCCTGAAGACCGGTTGAAGTATCGCAACAGTATTCGGGTTGATTGGTACGGTTGGCCATTCTTTTTCGTTTGGGACTCGCTTTGATCGATTCGGGGTTCAACTTAGATATGCATACAGCATTGGGCGCATTGAAGGCGAATATACATAGGAGGTTGTCATTGGTTTGTTTTCTTACTTCTTTTGTTAAGTTCTTCGAATTTATTATACCATTCCAACACCAACAAATTGTCAATCACAATCTCATGTATCAAAGTGCTTGACGGCTCCCGTACTCCACGAATGGCAGAACCGGAGGCTAAGCTTTGCCAAAGATCTCAACTTGGATTAAATCGCCTCACAGCTCGCGATCGGCGGCCTTGACCGGTTTCTCGCTGTCTTCCTCTTTGAGGTTGGTGACCTTTCCGCCCTTCCAGCCAAGCGCCTTGAGGCGTTCCGAAAGAATAGGGTGAGAGTAGTGGTAGCTTGCGTACATCCAGTCAGCATCCATAGTGCTGAGGTTCTGGATCTGGAGCTTGAGAAGAGACTGTGCTAGTTCCTCAGAGTATCCAAGTCCAACAGCGAAGGCGTCTGTGATTTGTCAATTCCAGTCAAAATATAGCCAATGTGGATAACGTGGGGGAAGAACACGTACCAGCCTCGAACTCAAACTTGCGGCTGAGAATGTTCATTAGCAGCTTGACGACAGCGTCCATGGGAGCGAGGGCGTCGGAGAACAAGAGGAATCCGACCATAATGGGCTGCTGGCTGTGGAAGCCAAATGACTGGTACAGGGACTTGTTGTTCACGAAAGCAGAAAATAGCGCGAAGATGTAGAACATGTGGAACTGTTATCCTGAGGTTAGCTCATCTCCTATAATAGTGCGGGGAACCAGGAATTCGCGGAACGCACCTGGGCGATACCGAACAGCTTGGTAGTGTGGCTCAGGCTCCAGTGGCCGAGTTCATGACTGAGCACCGCGACTACCTCTTCAGGCTCGCTCTTCTCGATCAAGGTATCATAAATGACGATGTGCTTCTTCCAGGGAAGTCCGTAGAAGTAGGCGTTGCTGTGAGCACTGCGCTTGCTGCCGTCAATGACATGCAGCTCCTTCAGAGGGAATTCGAGCTTCTTGGCAAGGTTCTCAACACCCGTCTTGATTTGGCCGGGCTCCAGGGGCGACAGCTTGTTGAACAGAGGAAGGATAACGATGGGGTAGATTGTAATGGCAAAGACCTGAATGAAGATACCGAAGATCCAGAGGTAGTAGAAGAATGAGTTGCCAGTCTTCTGAATGATCTTGAGAACAGCACTGATGATCGGAGTTCCCAGCACGATACCCAGCATTTGACCCTTGAGCATGTCCGTGACCCAGAGCTTGACGGTCTGCTTATTGAAACCAAACTTCTCCTCAAGAACGAACGTATTGTAGTACGAAACCGGGATAGATAGAACCGTGCTGATCAAGTTGAAACCGAAGAGAAATAGGAGTGTCTGGGCAATTTCACCCTGGAACCGAGCTGGAAGATACCGTGCCAACAAGAGACCACTGACACCCCAAAGCTTGGGGAGGACATCGCCGTAGATGAACGCGAGATTCTGAATTTGACTGTAAAGACCTGCAAAGAAACCGAACTTGGCTTTGGCGCGACCGTAAGCCTACCGAAAGAGATGACGCTCGTCAGTAAACTCTTGAGTCGAGGGAGGCAGAACGCATGTATACCTGACTCTGATCATAAACCTTCTGCGACACCTCGCCCTCCAAGACCTGGGGAGGTTTCGTCCGCTGCAAGACCTTGTACTGACGGAAAGACAAGAGTCCTTCTAGCACAAACTGTCCCAGAGAGAACCCCACGAGGACATTTTTCCATGGGAAGAATGGGCGGTCGAGCAGACGCGCCAGTTGCTATTCGGGACACGGTAAGCCGCGTTAGCTCACGCTTCTTTCAACTGACAAGGAGAACGATAGAAACAATAGTCTCGGAACAGCAGTCCTTACCTCGAGAATATACATGGTAGCGTCCGCAGCACAGCAAGAATCCGAGATAGAACCTGCTGCGAAGTGGGCTGTTTCCTCGGACAATAAAAGGTGATGAGGAGGAAGGACGCCGCGGACGGGGGGGACGTAATGGAGTAAGAAGTACTCCGTAGCTGGCGACCTGGTGGTAGTTGGTTGCCTTGCAGCCTTAAACAAGCGCGGATGTGTTTCACTGCCTATTACGAGTAGGTCAACTAAATACATGCATGTAACATTACTGTTACTATTTTGGGGTTCAATAATAAAGAACAAGACCGGTTGCCAACAAGGACAATGAGTAAGCAACAGGGTCTCTCTCTACCTGGTGAGTAACCATAACCTAACCTATCAAAAATTGAAATAGATTCCAACATACATTCAGTTTCACTAAATTCGACCGAGCCCAGACTATGAGAACAATATGCACAATAATATCATTGAGCAAAGTTCTTAACTTTTGTTTCGTTGCATTCATCATCCCCCTATACAGCATCTACAAAAAAAAGAGGCCATGTATCCTGGACCGAACAATAAGAATGAACAGAAAAAAGAAGATGAAAAGAAAATGACTTCCACAGAATAGCGTCATAACACACGTCAAAAGAAGTAGCCTTCGCGCACCAAGTCCAGCCATGCTACTTCCGCCTCCGATCTGCCTATCCATCCTGCTGCATGCATGACCTCTTTGTCTCTGCAAACCTCTGGATGGGCCGGCGGGAGTTCGGAAAAGTCTCCACCGTGCTCCCCAGCAGGTGAGATAGGCGAAGATTGGACTTACTGCGTTCTCTATTCAGGGAATCAGCCCGACACGCGCTTTCATTACCGTAAACCCTTCTATTTCAGAGTAGACCCAGTCCATCAAGGCTAGTTATCAACTAGACTACAATGTCTTCATCAACCATTTCCTGACTGGACCAAGTTGGAACTCTTCAAGCTACCAATAGCTTGTTTTAGTTCGAGACAGGCTCGAGAGTGTTACCGCTGATTCAAAGTTAGTCGGGTTTTATCATGACTCGTACTCTGTGGAGTTGTGAGCGAGCGGCGAGAGAGGAAAACTTACGCGACAATGTTGGCCCATCCAATCAAACGCCAGTGCTTCTCAATTCTGCGGCTGATAGCGATCTTCTCGCCAATCTCAGTACAGGCAGGGCTGGTCAAGCTGAGCTTAGCGGCATCGGCCTTCACACCGACGACCTTGGCACCAGTGGCCGTGGAACCAATGTTTACCATGAGAACCTCGTTCTTGGTCAGCTTGGCAACCTTGGCTTGCTTGCCATCGGCAGTCTTAACACCCAACAGGCGACGGAGCAAGAAATAGTTAACCTCCAACTCGGTGTAAATGGCAGGAAGGCGTCCACGGTGACCCAGAACGAAACCGACGAGACGATCAGCACGGCACAGAGTAGGGTCGACACGGGTACCGACACCGATCAAACCACCAGGCACGGCAAACTTGAGGTCGTTGTGCTCGGCGAAGAGGGACATGACCCGGGAGAAGATGGGCCGGCACTGGATCTTGCCGTTCTCGTCCTTGGTAACGAGACCAGGACGAATCTCGATTTCGTCGTTCAGCTTCAACACACCAGTGAGGATCGAACCACCAGCAACACCACCCTTCAACTCCTCAATCTCAGCACCGGGCTTGTTCACGTCGAAGGATCGAATGACGATCATGTGAGGGGAAGCGGTGAAGTCACGAACAGGGACCGGGATGTGCGAAACCAGGTACTCGTTGACGGCGTCGATATTGTACTTCAGCTGTGCGGAAATGGGAATAATGGGAGATCCATCGGCGACGGTACCGCGAATGAACTTCAGAATGGACTGGTAGTGTTGCAGAGCTCCATCTTCTCTCATGAGATCCACCTTATTTTGCAGGATGATGATATGGCTGAGCTTCATGATCTCAATAGCTGCCAAGTGCTCCGAAGTCTGAGGCTGAGGGCAAGTTTCGTTTCCGGCAATCAAGAGGAGGGCAGCGTCCATGACAGCGGCACCTGAAAGCATAGTACTCATCAGAATATCGTGACCGGGGCAGTCAACGAACCTACAGTAGAGAGGGTCATCTATTAGCGGCGGGGCTTGTTGCCTCCAGGGGACAGGGTGAAAGAAACATACGAAACATGTCTCAATAGTCTGTAGCGACCGGAGCATCCATCTCTCTCACAAGGCGGGTCGATTTCCTTCTCGCTCTTGAAACTCTTGAAGCAAGTCGGTCTGGGACACTCGGGGTTGTCGCACTTGTAGATCTTGGCGTTGGCATAACCCAGCTTGATGGTAATGTTTCGCTCCAATTCGTTCTTGAAACGGACAGTCTGAACCTCGGAGATGGCCTTGACAACTGTCGACTTTCCGTGAGCGACGTGACCGATGGTACCGATGTTGATCGTGGCCTGGCGCGCAATGATTTCGGGCGTCAGAGGGGTGAGTGTGGACAGGTCGAGGGTCTCTGGGTTAGGCTGCTCGGGCAGCTCTGGCCGCTTAGGCTGGGGGAGGGAGGGCACTCCAGAGTTCTTCATCGCAGACTTCAAGGGCTTCTCCTCAAGGTCGAGGGGCTCCTGATCTTCGATGTCATCGTGACCGTTCGCATCGAGCATGGGGGATCCAGGCTGGGATTCATCGTCTGTGTAATCGCCGTTGGTAGCCATGATTGCGGTGTTAACCAGGAGACGACAACGGGGTAGGTAGGAAAAGGTGGGTTGACGAGGGGGGTGGGTGGGAGGGGCGAATATCCAGGGTCGTCTGGTCGGATGAAAATTGCTGCTTGGAAACGGAGAGGCGATATGATACGGTTTGAGCCAGTGGGGTTCGGGTTTGTGCAGTGGAGAGCGAGTGGGCGGTGGGCAGCGGCAGGATTTACTACAGTGCTCGTATTTGACCAGTTGACCGGCGGGGGGTTGATTGTTGACTCATCGCACAAGAACAATAAGTTAAGTTAGTTAGCTACTACTCAAAGTAGTATTGGGCACCTAAACCATTACAAAGAGAAGGCAGGATTCATAACACTTATACCTGGGTTTTCTATACAAGAACAATACCATGCAAAAAACATAACATCATTATCTCACGGCTGCAATCGAACAATCCATACTACTTCTCTTCCTAACAACGACAGAGGGGTATATAGGTTTGAATTCCGATGCTACTCATCATCGCTGGCTTCGCTATCAGATTCCTCCTCGCTAACTTCTTCAGCATCCTCGGATTCCTCGTCATCAAACTCGAGGTCGGACGAGTCCTCCGCCGTCAACATCACGAATGCTTTCAGGCAAGTGACCCGGTTCCCCGTAGCGTAAGTGTTCAATAGTCGGCCAACCTGGTTGATTTCAGGAGCCTTCTCATCCTTAGAATCGGACTTCTTCTTCTTGTCGCCCTTCTTCTTCCTTGCTACTAGTTCAGTGCCACGCAGCAGCCATACGCGGATTAGGCCTTCGCTATTGGCGGTAACAACCAAGTAGTCGCCCTTGTTGGGCCCTGGCTGATCCTTCAGGCTGAGGACCTCGAAGTCCTTGACTCTGCCGGGAAAGCCATGTGCCCTACCGCCGAGCTGGGCGATGACCTTAGCAAATGGAATAGGAGACTCATCCCCCTCCGGTGCGTTCTCGACTTGTGTGGTGGAATAAAAGATGACTCTGCCGTCTTCAGTCGAGACAGCAAGCAGTTCATCACTATCCTCGGAAGAGGAGTCGGAGCTGACGTATGTCATCTGGTGAATCTTACTGCGAGGGTTGGGGAACACTCTGCAGATGGGAGTCGAGTCCTGCCAGGGTTAATCAGTTTTGATGCCAACAAATAAACAAGAGCATAGTTGTCGACTTACGATGCCAAAGACGACTGCGCCCCATTCGAAAGCCACAGCAAATTCGTCTCCCTTGGAGTTCCAGACAATTCGCCTTCCTTCACCGGTGCTGTATTTGCCTTCCTTGACGCTTTGTAGAATCTCCCGGTTGAAACTCAAGACTCCAGCTTTCTTGCCAGTTACTAAATTCCACAATCTCATGCATTTCTCTCCCTTGCCAACACTTAGCATAAGCTTCATACTAGGATGCACGGCGAAGTCGTTGATTCCAGAAGGAGAGCCACCGGGAGGAGCTGTGTCACCGCTTGGGCGGCCCTGCACTTTAGGGTGCGGAGCTTTGATGGTCGAAACAACGGTAAAGTCACGAGTTTTGGTGACGGAGATGGTGTTATCTTCGGCCGCGACCAAGATCTTTGAGCGTGAAGGGAAGCAAAGGGCTGAGATAGGGGCAGAGTGATGCATCAATGAACCCAATTCGCGATTCTTGGGGTTTTCGAGAATTTTGTTACCGGCAAGAGTCGGAACAGTAGGATAATCTTCATTGACAGCCACCGGAGCAGCAGATAACGAGTAGAGGTTGACACGCTCATCAGTAGCACCAGTCGCCAGGATCACTTGGGGGGCTTCGTTGGAATCTGCCTTGGGCAACGGGGACAGTGCGAGGCATCGAATTGCGGAGGTGTGAGCCTCGAAGAGAAAGTTGTCCACAAATTGGACCAATTCAGAGTCGTTGGAGGTTTCAGAGACAGTATCGGTGGGTTTCGCAAAGGCTTCGGGAGAAACAGCAGCAGTGAAGCCATGCAACACCCGTTCGTATGAGCCGGTGACAATCTGCAGAGTGATCGCCGGGAAGTCGGTGGCGGTGGCCGCAGGAGTCTCTTGGCTGGTGGTTGACTTGGCGACCTTTGTTGCCTGCTTGAGGCTCTGACGGTCTTTTGCCGTTTCTTCTCTCTTGCGCTTGACCATAATGACTGATGGCTAATGTATTAACTTGGAATGAGAAAACGTGGGAAGATTTGGATGGGATATCTGAGCGCGATCAGAACGTGGGCAACTTTTTTTTCTGCCAGGCGTTATCAGCGGTGAACGTGGGCGGTGAATTTAATTTGCCCACGCCGCCATGGTCTGATGTTGTGCTTCACACTGAAAGCGGTAAGTTGTTCAGTGATTTATCCATGATGATGTTAGAGCGACCAGA